CAAGGAAAGACAAACTAGAGTCTGCTGCCATCTAGTGATACAGATGATTATAACATTTTAAAACAAATAATTAACTTGTTCTCCAAAAAATGATGATTGTACTTAGGTAAATGCAGAAATAAAGAGTTCACATGTAGCGCTGCTTCCCAATATGACCTACCCTGCCTGTCACCTGTACCAGAAACATGACCTTTGTGATGAACTACCTATTTATTTAACAAATCTTCACTTAGTCATTAATGTATTCCAAGTACTATAGTGGTGATCAAAGCTGTGTAAGTTATATCATCCATAAAGTAAACAATGGTGACTTAATTTAAATTAATTTATTCTGCCTTTGTCAGACTAAAAGATCATCTTGAAATCCCACCTACTGTGATTATGCCATCTAATAACAGTCCTCCCTCTGTCCATTTGAAACCAATATTAATTGTTCTCTTCTTTCTATTTCCTCCATGTTCCTAATTCAGGCAGGTTACCAAATACACATTTTCCTTGGCTAAGTGCACTTTCCCCTCTAGAAAACTGAGCAACATGAAGTCTTCAACTTGAGTAACAATCATACTACTTAGAAAAGGAGGTTATCTTTGCCTTGGTTGTGACTATTCTCTGGGGAGGTATAATGGTTTTGCAGGCAGACTTAAATTCAGTCTTTTCTGAACTTAAGATTGAAAGTTTACCTTCTCCAAGGAAGTTCAGCAATGTATCAAAGAAATTTCCTCAGCCCATATCGCTGTCAGGTCACTTCCCTCATAATTTAATCATGCACATAAATCCTCCAGAGATCAAAGAAGTGAGTCAATCCAGCCTCCAATGCCCTTTATCATTCATGTTTCATTTATCTTTAAATGTATCTTTCATGTTGCATCCCAGGAATTTCTAGAGAGTGTCAAAATAAGATGTTAATTAAACACCTGCAAGATTATTATCTCACCTGAGAACTCACTTTCCTCATCAAATTATGTTCAACTGATACTCTACCTAACATCCTGAATCAAATTATAGTATATAGTGAACATCAAATGGCATTACAACCCATGTAATTCATATCCCAGTGTATCCTAATATCTCAGGACTCAAATTTTTCCCCTTCCACTTTCATTGTCAGAGATTTAATTTTAGTCTTACCTCTTTTCTAATCCCTTCTCCCAATCTCACAAAAGTGATTTTTAAAAAAGTTCAAGCCATACTGATATTGCATTCACAAAAAATTATTCTTCGTAGTTTACCTATTTAAATACTGCTGCAATAAACATAGGAATGCAGGAGTCCTTCTGAATTCATGTTTTTGTGTCCCTTGGGTAGATCCTAGGAGTGGAATTGCTGGATCATATGGAAGCTCCATTTTTGGCAGCTTGAGAAACCTCCAAAAAGTTTTCACAGAAGTTGGACTAGTTTGCATTACCACCAGCAGGGTAGAATAGTTCCTTTTTCTTCACATCCTTGCCAACATTCAAAAACAAATGACTGGATCAAGAATATGTGGTACATTGTGGAATATTACTCAGCAATCAAAAAGGTAACTCATGCTATTCACAGCAACATGGATAGAGAAGGAAGGTTTCATGCTAAGTGAAATAAGTCAGAAAGATATTTCACATTGAGGAGCAATGTAAAGGATCCATTACTTGCTAGTTTTAGAGGACTTGGGGGGGGAAGTAATTGTAATAAAGCAAAAATCAAACTCAACAAACAACTATAAGTCAGAGACAGTCTTCAGGGTAGAGAGAAGGCAGCAGGATCAAAATATGGGTGAGAAGAGCACAAAGGACTATGGCAATGGTACATAGGTAAACTGGTAGTGGGAATTCCACGGGGGCTACAACCAAGATGAAAAAGCATGCATTGTATAAAAAAGAATGATGTAAAATATATATAAAATAATAAAAAACAAAATTCTCAATAACTAAAATTGCAAAGCTCATGAAACAGCCAATTGGCATAAAGTACTTTCTGTGACAATTCTCCATTACCAACTCCAAGTTTAAATGCATGCTATATTCCTTTCCTGGAAGACTTTCCATTTACCTATTCATTTGGCAGCCTTTAATAACCTTCCACATTTAATTCTACAATCAGCTCTTTCAGGAAGTCTTTTGTAATTCACTCCCATACTACACCAAAGGTTATTCACTCACCTCCATAACTCATAAATGTCTTTATACTATATTTCCCTAACTAGACAGAGAAGTAGATAAAGGAGAGTTTATATGTTCATCATCTTCAGATCACCAACACCTAACACAGAAACTAAAAGTTGTTGGTGGTGTTAAATAATTTATTCACGATCAGCACAGAACAGGAGAAACATAGTGTTTGCTTACTTGCTAGTTTTAGAAATGTTGATTTTGCAATAGCTGGGCCAACTAAAAGGAATCCCTTAATCTCATATCCAAGTGTTGGTGAGAATGTGGAGAATTTTAAGCAATATCACTAAGAAGTAAATGGTGTAGTCATTATAGAAAATATTATAGTTTCCTCAAAAAGTTAAAAGTAGAACTACTATGGCCCTCCCTGGTGGCGCAGCGGGTTAAAGCACAGCACTAAGAAGCTTAAGTCACTTCCGCATGAGTTCGATCCCCGCATGCCCTGGAGATCCACATGGTGAGACAGACCTCTCCTGACCCGCCCGCTGCTCCCCTCAGCAGTGTACTTCATTGATCTGCCTGTTCTGCTCCCCACTCTGTCTATGGTGAATCCTCTCACCCTCCGCATCTCTGGCCTGTACCCCAGTTCTGTATAAATAAATGAATAAATCTTTAAAAAAAAAAAAAGTAGAACTACTATGTGATCCAGCTTAGAGTATATATCTAATCCCAGCTTAGAGTATATATCTAAAAGAATTCAAAGCAAGATCTTAGAAAGATATCTATGTGCCCATGTTTGGTGTAGAAGAAGTTGGGAAGAAAGAAGAACACTGTCTCTATTCTTAGAAGGATTGAACTATATAAACAAGTACAAAATGTTAAAGAGAATCCACAAAATAGCTAATAAAATTAATAGGTGAATTTACCAACCTATCAGGATATGTCAATTGGATTTCTACTTAGAAACAAAAAAGTCTTGAAAAGTGTATTTAAACATGATTTTCAATAAATTAAAAATAACAGAGAAAAATTGATGTGAAAGATTTTTCTGTAGAAAAATTTAAATCATTGCAGACAATAACTAAGGAAAACCCATTACCAAAGTCTGGATAAGAAGGTTCAATATTCCTAAGTTATCAATGCAACCCATCATCTAGCTGTTCTTAGATGACAACACCAAAGTGATGAAGTTGAAAGTGTTAGTAGCAGTAAGATTCATTCATATGTACAAAGTTTGCCTAGAGTTAAAAAAAAAATGAGTCATATGTATCATCCCAGGGATTTGAAATTATATCCCTGTGGAGCAAAACAAATGAAAGACCCCAAGGCTACATTCTGTTGCAATAATGTAGACAGTGAGAAAGGAGTTTCTAGCTGTGCTTTTAAAATTTTGGTAATATTTCAAACTTACAACCTTCTCTGAGAATGAGGCATATTTAATGTGATACAGGCAATTCAATAATAGCCATAATTGCAATCAGTTAATAAGAAACAAGATATCCAATCCAATCAGTTAATAAGAAACAAGATATCCAATCACAATTATACAGTGATGAAACAGAAAGCATGTTTTCTCCACACCACCATGCACAGTTCACCTCTAGTCTAGTTCCTCACTTTGAAAAAGAAATATTGAATAGAGGTTATAAAATGTCTTTCAAATAAATCAAGTATTCAGTTGTTTCTGAAATTGCTTTTATATGACAAACAAAACTCAAAAGGATCCAACTGTAAATGAAGTATTCCTTAAGACAATGACCCTTCACGTTCCATGAAGAACATCTACTCCCATATTTATCTTTAGGTCATGATGAATAGAAGAGTAATTTAAGCTCCCCTCACTCCATATTTTGTGGGCTCCATAACAAGTATCAATACATACCCTACATATTTGAAAAGCTTCTTCCATCTAAAAGAGAAACAACCAAAGTTATTCATTCCCCTTACATTTATTTAAATTAATTAGCTTGAATGACTTCATAACATTAACAGGGGCATACAAAGTCTCCCTTATTAAAGATAGTGTTCAGAACATGATTATTTCTTGTTTGAATAACCACAGTTAGAACAGACTAGATACTCACTGTAATTGGATCTATGGGATATTGTCCCTGGAGTGTCAGTTTGTAACCCTACACAGATCTCTAACTTTAATTTACTACACAAACTGGAAATTTTTCACAATTTACAAATAACTTAAATTACTTAACAATGCTGATGGTTGACCCTTTAGAAAATATTTCTGGAGCACAAAAACAGGACAACAATGGCGATATGAAAGAAGTCTCTGCGATATCTAACATGCCATGACAGTGCGTCACCATCTACCTGGCTTTCAGATGGGTGCTGTGGACTTGGATTTAAATGTTGCTTTTCTTCAGTTAAATAATTGATGACTGAAGTAATCTATATCTTTTGTACTCAACACATTACCAAATTATTTTTGACAGAACTCTAGGAGCGACAGAAGAAAGTGTGAAAATAGAAAGAAGATATTTTTTAAGAAGACTTATCAAAATAGAGAAAGAAAATATTCCAGTGGTTTATTCTAGTGGTTCAGAAGTAAATGGATGACTTACCCATAGTTCAGTTACAAATGTGTTTTTGGAGAAACAAGAAATGCACATGGATTGTTTCATTTCTCAGTCTCTTGTGGTGTTATGAGTAACTACTGTCCCGACCAACATTGCCAAAACAGCTTAAGATAGTAGCTGTTGACTTTCTGCTTGAAATTTTCCTTATTAATGACAAATTCCTTCAAATATATATTACTAATAATCACAAAACAGCAGAACCATTTAAGCAAAGACCAAAAGTTCTTCAACCACATGTCAAAAATGAGCGGGCAATTTGTGTTTTATTTATGTGATATTATTTCTTTTTTGCATATATACAAATGAATATTACATAATAAAATGCTCCAGGCAGATTTCACTTTTGTAACATTTTTTTTTCTCCCTAGGGTTTTCCCACACCCTCAAAATTGAGGTCATCATACTGTACTGGTGCTTACTGATGTACCTGATCACCTTGTTGGGTAACCTAACTCTAATCTGCATCACTATCCTAGATTCTCACCTACACACACACACGTACTTCTTCCTGAGCAACCTCTCCCTTTTAGACATCTATTATACTTCTTTTGGTCTTACTTTGTTGCTGACAAACTTTGTTTCAGGGTAAAACACCATCTCTTTCTCATGCTGCTCTGACGTACTTTTCTCTGGCCATGGGCCCCACTGAGTGTGTTCTCTTGTCCATGATGGCATATGACAGGTAGGTGACCATCTGCAAACCCCTGAGATACCCCGCCATCATGAACAAAAGCGTTTGTGTGCAGATTGCAGCTGGCTCCTGGGTGACAGGCAGCCTTACATCTTTGGTAGAAACAGTCTCTGTGCAACTATCTCTCTATGGAAATAATACCATCAATCATTTTGCTGTGAATTTCTGACTATCCAGAAAATAGTTTGTGTGGACACTTCCATGGTGCAGTTAATCATACTGGTGATAACTACACTTCTTGATCCTATGCCAGTGCTCTTAATTTGTGTCTCTTATGCATTCATCCTCTCCAATATCTTGAGAATCATCTCAGTGGATGGTTGAGGCAAAGCCTATTCAACATGAGCAGCCCACCTAACTGTGGTGGTTTTGTTCTATGGAACAGGTTTTTCCAGGTACCTGAAGCCCTCATCTCTCGATTCACAGGAAACAGATAAGTTTATAGCTTTGGTAGATGCAGGAGTAGCTCCTATATTGAATCCCATCATCTACAGTCTGAGAAACAAAGAGGTGAAAACAGCTATGAAAAAATTACTTATTAGAAATCCTTTTGTGCCATCTTAATTTTAACCATCAAAAAATATCAAGTACATTTTTAAAAATATTTATTTTATTTATATATACAGAATTGGGATACGGGCCAGAGGTACAGGGGTGATGAGAGTATTCACCAGAGACAAAGTGGGGAACAGAACAGGCAGATCAACAAAGTACACTGCTGAAGGGAGCAGTGGGTGGGTCAGGAGAGGTCTGCCACACCATATGGGTCACCTCCCTGGCTGGGAATAGAACTCACATTGAAGAAACTGTGTGACCTTCACAGTGCTGAGCTTTAACCTGTTGTGAGAAGTACATTTTTCTAATAACCTACAACATTATTAGGAAAGCTGCAAAATATTTGTATTGAACAATCCTTAAAAAATACTTTTGATAAGAATTCAACATGAATTAGAATATCTTTGAGGGCCCTCCCTGGTGGTGCAATGGGTTGGAGGGCAACACTACAAAGCTGGCTTCAGTGTGAATTCCATCCCCTGCCTCCCAGAGGTGATCCATTTGGCCCGGCAGACCTCTCCTGACCTACCCTCTCCTTAACAGTGTGCCCCATCAATTTGCCTGTTCTGCTCCCCACTCTGACTCTGGTGAATCCTCTCACCACCTCTGCAACTCTGGCCTGTACCCCAGTATGCATAAATAAATAAATCTTTTTTTAAAAAAGATTTATTTATTTGTTCATACAGAATTGGGTACAGGTCAGAGGCTCGGGGGCGGCGAGAGGCCCCACCAGAGACAGAGTGGGGAGCAGAACAGGCAGATCGATGAAGTACACTGCTGAGGGGAGCAGCGGGCGGGTCAGGAGAGGTCTGCCTCGCCATGTGGAGCTCCTCTGGGGCAGGCGGGAATCGAACTCATGCGGAAGTGGCTTTAGTTTCTCAGTGCTGTGCTTTAACCCACTGCGCCACCAGGGAGGGCCTAAATAAATCTTTCATTAAAAAAAAAAAGAACATTTTTATTAACCTTGTAAATAAAACTTTTTGGTATTCATGGCTCATTTAAGCAGAATGACCATGTTTTCACAAAACTATTTAGCATTTGTTGAATATTAATATGATATTAAAATTAAAGTCTTGCTTCTTGTTTCATATTTGGTTGGCTATATGACTTAAGTGTCCAATAACTTAATATACCAAGGCTTGTAAGATTTGAAACTATTTATTTTATTACAATTATTCCTAAATTTGTGAGAACACATGTAAACCTGGATTTTTTCTGAGTTTTTAAAATCTGGATATAATTTTGTGAATTTATGAAAAGGTAGCTATTTTTTTTAAAGATTTATTTATTTATGCATACAGAACTGGGGTACAGGCCAGATGCTCAGGGGCGGTGAGAGGCTTCACCAGAGACAAAGTCGGGAACAGAACAGGCAGATCAATGAAGTACACTGCTGAGGGGAGCAGCGGGCGGGTCAGGAGAGGTCTGCCACACCATGTGGTCACCTCCAGGGCAGGCGGGGAATCGAACTCATGAGGAAGCGGCTTTAGATTCTCAGTGCTGTGCTTTAACCCGCTGTGCCACCAGGGAGGGCCGAAAAGGTAGCTATTTTTAATAAATACTGGTATAACTGAAAGTATGTGTAATATAACTATGTATTATAGACAAATAAAATAATTTATAAAGCCTGGACACCATTAATTTTAGAATTCTTCCTTGTGTCATAATGTGAAAAATAAGGTTTTAGATTTGATGGTTATAGCATAATTATTTTTTTAGGCATGTATGTGTGGGAGGTGGTTAATTATCTTTGCATGTGCAAAGATCATGAAAGGTATTTACATAATTATAATTTTATATGAAGTGGAACATTCAGGAAATCTTGAATATTTACTCATTTTTACTTTGAATGCCTCAGTGAATTTGTACACATACACACATTACATTACTATTGTTCTTAGAGTATGGTGAGTTGACTAACGAGCTCAGAAAAAAGATTCATAACCTGCAGAGATTAGACTGCAAAAGAAACAGAGCAGGCACATAATGTGGAGAAAGAATCATGAATATGTTAATGTATTTGAACAAAATGGCATAAATTATACTTTAATTTTCTGAATTTTCCTGTCTTTTCCACCCTCACAGGAGTTGGTAACTAATGAGGTCATATGAAAACATTACTTTCACTTTGTCAGAAAGGAATGCTTGAGTATAAGTAAATGATTATTTTATGACGAAGGTGACTTGTTAGCATAGATTCAATCTCCTTTAGCCTTCGGCACAGAGAAAATGGGACCCTTTATGATAACTATCACAGAAGGTCCCAGCTTGAACAAGACATCACATGCAAAGAATGATCCAATTGAGGGTGAATGTATTGATGAAGGAACCATGTAGGAGGAAAGAATTCAATGAGGATAAATGGTGGTGAAGTTAAGTCAGGATTCTTATTATATATAAGAAAGCATTTTTTCTCTCATAGATATTAGATGCCTATTCTATACATTCAGAAATTCTCCAAAGGTAGGAACTTGTAATGGTATCATGAAAAGGGAACAATTACTCTAATTTTCATCCTTAAAGATTTCACTAATTGACAACAGGAACAATAATATGATGTTATTTGACTGAAAGGAAGAAATAAATATAAATCATATTACCCTACCTATAAATCCTACAATAATTTATAACACTAATTCCAGGCAATTACACCTGGATATATATATACACACACACATACAACACATACATATATATTCATCTTTTCATATGGGTGAGAAGAAAATCTGTAAATAAGATATTGAAAATAAATTATGGTATTCAGCAGCTCCACTGGGCATGGAAGCTTAAGCAGTGTCTTTTTGGGATATGGTATGGATAGACATCATCTATGGATCAGGCCAATCAACTGCTAAAGGCAAAATCCAATACATTCGTTTATCCTGCCAGAGGCTAGAGAAGGTCCTTAGATTTCAGGTGCTTCTACAAGTCATTTTGGGTAAAAAACTAGCTTCAGAATGGAGTTACTTTCTTCATGGCTTTATTCATAGGATTTCTTCTATCATGGAACGATGGAACTGTATATGTAATCCTGAAGTGTGTTTAGATTACTTTTTCATTATCGTATGTTCAATCATGAGAAACAGCAACTATTTTATCAAGAAAGGAAAGAGCACATTTGAATGCAATTTATATAACTCCATCACACTCCAGTTCCAGTTCTTTGAGGTAACATACATAGATCACACCTTGCAATATTCATATGCAGTGTCCTTGGATAGTTCATTCACACAGGTGATTAATCTTAACGGATGAATAACTTCACCGCCTTGTAGAAATGTTACTATTTTAACTCTCAGACAGCTACCTTGATTAAACAGTCTTCAGGAGCACCTCACTATGACTCACTCCCAATTACTGCTTTTGAATATATTCACAGGCGCATAGAGGGAATAAACCTAAGGCTTTGAAAGCACACAGTAACTTACCATACCACTTGATTCCTAAAGCCTGTTTGATTAAAGTTTTTTCTAAATATTTCTATTTTTTCTTTTTTTTAGGTTAATAAGACATTATATGATTTCTGATATTGTCTTTTATTTTCATTCCAATAATTTCCGACAATACAAGAATATAATAATAACTGCTAACTTACTCTTTTTAAGTTATCCTGAAACATTTTTAAAATATCCTAATGATAAGGATCACCTAGAATGTTTGATAAAATATTGTGTTCATGTCAAAACTAGACCCATAAAAACTGAATTTCCAGGGACAAGATCTGTAATTCTGGATGTTTATAAAAGAGATAGTGATTCTTACCATGTGAGGATTATGGGAAATTCTGATTCAAAGCATTCAAATAGTAAAGTTTGAATCATATTACTGAACAGCTCCAGGGTGAGAAGGGAGAGAAAAAAGGTACTTTAGATGTCAAGGAGATAGGATTATCACATAAAACTTGTCAGAAATAAGGGGAAAATCTGTTCTTTCCCAGTACTTTATTACAAGATGCTAGGGAAAGGGAGAACCATTACATGATGCAGGAAGTCTTAAAAGTGACTCTGTTTAGGCCCTCCCTGGTGGCGCAGCGGGTTAAAGCACAGCACTGAGAATCTAAAGCCACTTCCGCATGAGTTCGATTCCCGCCTGCCCCAGAGGTGATCACATGGCGTGGCAGACCTCTCCTGACCCGCCCGCTGCTCCCCTCAGCAGTGTACTTCGTTGATCTGCTTGTTCTGCTCCCCACTCTGTCTCTGGTGAAGCCTCTCGCCGCCCCTGCACCTCTGGCCTGTACCCCAGTTCTGTATGCACAAATAAATAAATCTTTAAAAAAAAAAAGTGACTCTGTTTAAAAAAGAGTTGTTTAATTATGGTGATGGCACATGGATAATTTGGCTGCAGGAAGCCCACAGGGATTACAACTGAGATGAAAAAAGGCACAAAATGATTTAAAAATAAACTACTATATTATTTTTTAAAATTGTTTAAATGCAGGTTTCACTCTGTTCTCTTTGCTGCCCTTCTCTTTTATGTAGAAGAAATAAACCAAATTCCTCTATTTACTTCAAAATATACATTCTAAATATACTAGAGGGAAGAATTTTTTCCCTTTAAGATAAAGCTATAAAACATGTTTACTTAAATTTTTGAAAAATTTACCACGTTAGTGAGATCGCTTTTTTTTTTTTAAAGATTTATTTATTTGTGCATACAGAACTGGGGTACAGGCCAGAGGCTCAGGGGCGGTGAGAGGCTTCACCAGAGACAGAGTGGGGAACAGAACAGGCAGATCGACGAAGTACACTGCTGAGGGGAGCAGCGGGCGGGCCAGGAGAGGTCTGCCACGCCATGTGGTCACCTCCGGGGCAGGCGGGAATCGAACTCATGCGGAAGCGGCTTTAGATTCTCAGTGCTGTGCTTTAACCCGCTGCGCCATCAGGGAGGGCCGTGAGAGCGCTTTTTAATAAAAGATAATCACATACAAAATGATCCTAGAAACTAGAGACAGAAAGACTGAGTGTGAGACTTCAATTTGGCATCTATAGTCCTCATTCAATATGTGGATC